TGTAATCAATAGTTTCATTAATATTTGAATTTTCTTTAAGTTAGTATTATTTGTGTTTATCAATATATAATATACTTCTTTTTCCGTTTCATTTGTATATTTAAATTATATGTTATGAAAAAAAAAAAATTGTGAACTTTTATTGTGACCCAATTTTTTGTTTGAGTGACTGTATATGTCTAGATATATAATGCCCAGAAATAATTTTACTACTCGTAGAGGAATTCTTTAAATACTGAAAGATTAAGGTTTCAAACCAATCTTATATGAAAGCATTTCAGGTTTGTGTGTAATTTTTCTTAATTTTCTGTCTGTTCACACTATAAAAACATAAAAAATCGCTGTCCAGGATGGCCGAATGGTTATGGCATCAGACTTCAATGCGTTTCATGTGCATCCTGTTTTCTAGCCATTCAGGTTTACAGTTCACACAACATGGCTGACAGATTCTAATTAAGTAGAAAAAAAGCAGTAAAAAAAAGTAAAACTATAAATGGACATTCCGCTGGAAAAGTGGTATTGAGGAATTCATTATTGGTAATTTAGTGTAACCTGAATGGTGGGAAGAAGAGTTCCTTGTTAAATGGATAGATCAGTTCATCATGTCGTTCTAGGTACCTCAGAAACATACGGGAGACACATAGCATAGATATCTGATTCTCTTTTCGGAAGTGAGCGCAGGTTCGAATCCTGCTCCTGGACTGCAAATTAATTTTTTGTTATATAAAAGAAATAACTGTTGTTTAAACTTACAGGGTGAGCAGGAGCTCGATTATAAAAATTTATTAAAAAATAACTGTTAAATGTAATATTGTTGTTTTTGGATAATTCGTTTTTAATAAGTTATTTACAATATATTTGAAGAACATTGATTGATGATGGAAACAATTATATATATATATATATATATATATATATATATATATATAATCAGGTTTTTTTATAAATCAAACTTTCATTTCTGCGGAATGGTAAATAAATACTATGGTCACCACCGGGAACAAGGAATCCCCATGTTTTTCACAGGTACTCAGAAACACTCGAAATTTAATATGTGATGTAGCCTCATACATAACAAGGTTATATAACCGTTGTTCTTCAATGTAAAAAACATTATCTCTAACTTTCACATAAGCTTACTGGAGCTATTCATCGCAAGCCAATTAGGAGAATTTTACCACGGAATATTTATCAACAAAATGAAGCAAATCCTCATTAGGTTTCATGAGTACTTAGACGAGAAATTTCTAGGTCAGTAAATTAGAAGGGATGGATCAACACCATGGCGTCCTGATATAACTTCTCTTGATTTTTTTTATGTTGGGGATATATCAAGCGCAAAGTGTTTTCCTTACCAGTTGAAGAACTGCAATCTAAGTTTGGTTTTGTTACGCCGCTTACTGTCATCTTGTGCACACGAGGGCTAAACAGACAATGACCTACAGTTTTAAAGTGGATTCGAACCACTAACAAACATCCCTGCCACCGTTAGGACTGAAATCTAACAGAAAAAGATGTTGTGTATGTCTGCGATATCTGTTACCTCTAATGTTTTCATTTATCAAAATATGGTATACTTCTCTTTTTCTTTCCATTTGTATATTTAAGTTATGTTTACGAAAAATCCTGTGATCTTGTATTGTGTCCGATTTCTGTTTTGAGTGGATGCATGTCTAGATTTAATGTCTGGAAATAATTTTGCTTTAGAAGAATTCTTTCGAAACTGGAAGATTAAAGAGTTTTCAAAAAAAAAATCATATATAAAAGCATTTCAAGCATGTGTATAATTTTTTCTGAATTTTCTGTCTCTTTACATTATAAAATATAAAAATTAAAATAAAACGCAGTCCTGGATGGCCGAATGGTTATGGCATCAGACTTTAATACGCTTAATGTACCTCCTGTTAACAACCCATTCAGGTTGGCAGTTACCTTATAACATGGCAATTCGAACCTAATTAATGTAGAAAAGAAATAATAAATAATGTAACCTATAAATGGGAAATCCGCTGGAAAATGATGACGAATGAATGTCGATTAATTTTTGTTATATAAAAAGAAAGAACTGTTGTTTAAACTTGCAGGAGCGCGATTATGAAAACTTATTACAAAATAACTTTTCAAAGCAATATTGTAGTAATGGGATAATTAGCTTTTAATAGGATTATGTGCAATGGATCTGAAGAAAATTAATGATTAAAATGATTATATATATATTCAATTGGTTTTTCTTATAGATCAAACTTTCATTTCTGCGGAAAGGTAAATAAACACAATTCACATCACCGGGAACAAAGAATCCACATCTTGTGGTGAGTAACAGTCTTAAAGTAAATTTGTGGTGCAGCTTCATGCATAACACGGTTATTAGATCGTTGTTTTCAATGAAAAAAACATTACCTTCAACATTTACTTAAAGTTACTGGAGCTATTCATCGCACGCTAATTAGGAGAATTTCAACCATGGATTATTTATCAACAAAGTGAAGCACCTCCTCACTAGGTTTCATGAGTTCCTAGACGAGAAATTTCTGGGCCAGTGGATTAGAAGGGATGTATCAACACCATGGCCTCCTGATATTACTTCTCTTGATTTTTTATGTTGAGGATATATCAAGCACAGTGTGTTTGCCTTACCAGTTGAAGAACTGAAATCTTAGTTTAGTTTGGTTCGTTTGTTACTGTCATCTTGTGCACACATGGCCTAAACAGACAAGGACCTACAGTTTAAAGTGGATTCCGAACCACTGACAAACATCCATGCCACCGTTAGGACTGAAATTTGGGAGAAAAGTTGCTGTGTATCTCTGTGATATCTGTTACCGCAAATGATTTTCATTCATCAAAATATGTTATACTTCTTTTTTCCGCTCCATTTGTATATTTAAGTTTTGTGTTATGAAGAAATCCTATGAACTTGTGTTATGTCCGATTTCTGTTTTGAGGGACTGTATCTATAGATATAATGCCTGGAAATAATTTTGGGTACTCGTGGAAGACTTCTTTCAAAACTGAAAGATTAAACATTTTTCAAACCAATCATATATAAAAGCCTTTCAGGTTTGTATATAATTTTTCTTAATTTTTTGTCTCTTTACATTGTAAAAATATAAAATCTGAAGAAAAGGGTAGTCCAGGATGGCCGAATGGTTATGGCATCAGACTTCAATGCGCTTTAGTACCTCCTATCATCTAGCCATTCAGGTTTGCAGTGAGCTTATAATTCCACATTTAGATAATTAATTTGAAAAGAAATGATAAATAAGGTAACACTATAATTGGACAAACCGCTGGAATAGTGGTAATCGATGAATCAATCATTATTGGTAATTTAGCATAACCTGAGTGGGGGAAGAAGAGTTACTTGTTAAATGTGATGGATCAGTTCATCATGTGTTTCAAGGTACCTCAAAAACATAGGGGTGTTACAAAGCATAGATATCTGATTCGCTTTCGAAGTGAGTGCAGGTTCGAATCCTGCTCCCGGACAGTCGTTTAATTTTTGCTATACTATATAAAGAAATAACTGTTGTTTAAGCATACAGGGTGAGCAGGAGCTTGATTATAAAGATTATTTATATTATTATAAAGGTTTGCAGTTAACTTATAACACGGCATTTCAATCCTAATTAATTAGAAAAGAAATAATAAATAAAATAACACTATAATTGGGAAGTCCGCTGGAAAAGTGGTAATTGATGAATCCGATCATTATTGGTATTTTTAGTGTATTATGATTGGTGGGAAGAAGAGCTACTTGTTAAATGTGATGGATCAGTTCATCATGTGTTTCACGGTGTCTCAGAAACATGTGGGAAGCACATAGCATAGATATCTGAGTCGCTTTAAAAGTGAGAGCAGGTTCTAATCCTGCTCCTGGACTGTCGCTTAATTTTTGTTATATAAAGAAATAAGTGTTGTTTAAGCATACTGGGTCAGCAGGAGCTGGATTATAAAAATTTATTACAAAGTAACTGTTGAATGTAATATCGTTGTTATTGGATAATTCACTTTTAATAGGATTATGTGCAATAGACCTGAAGAAAATTGATGATGAAAACGTATATATGTATATATATGTTATCGGTTTTTTATAAATCAAACTTTCATTTAGGCGGAAAGGTAAATAAACACAATGACCACCTCCGGGAACAAAGAATCCACATCTTTCTGCACGTGTAGTGAGAAACACTATTACAGTTATTGTGTGGTGCAGCCTCGTGTATAACAAGGTTATAAGGCTTTTGTTCTTCAATGAAAAAAACGTTACCTCTAACGTTTACCTAAACGTACTGAAACTATTCATCGCACGTCAGTTAAGAGACTTTCAACCACGGATTATTTATCAGCAAAATGAAGCACCTCCTCACTATGTTTCATGAGTTCCTAGAGGAAAAATTTCTGGTCCAGTAGATTAGAAGAGATGGATCGACACCATGGCCTCCTCATATTACGTCTCTTGATTTTTTATGTTCGGAACATATCAAGCACAGAGTGTTTTCCCCTTACCAGTTGAAGAACTGAAATCTAAGTTTGGTTTGGTTCGTCGCTTACTGTCACCTTGTGCACTCGAGGGCTAAACAGGCAAGGACCTACAGTTTAAAGTGGATTCCGAACCACTAAGAAATATCCATGCCACCGTTAATACTGAAATCAAGGAGAAAAGATGTTGTGTATCTGTGTGATATCTGTTACCTCTAATGATATTCATTGATCAAAATATGATATACTTCTTTTTGTCGTTTCATTTTATATTTAAGTTATATGTTACGAAAAATTCTGTGAACTTGTATTGGGTCCAATTTCTGTTTTAAGTGACTGAATGTCTAGATATAATGTCTGGAAATAATTTTGCTATTTGTAGAAGACTTCTTTCGAAACTGAAAGATTAACCCTTTTTCAAACCAATTATATATAAAAGCATTTCAGGTTTGTGTATAATTTTTCTTAATTTTCTGTCTCTTTACATTATAAAAACATAAAATCCAAAGAAATTCATAGTCCAGGATGGCCGAATGGTTATGGTATCAGACTTTAATCCGCTTCTTGTACCTCCTGTTACCTAACCGTTCAGGTTTACTGTTAACTTATAATATGCCATTTTGTTTCTAATTAAGTAGAAAGGAAAGAAAAAAATAAAGTAACATTATAATTGGAAAATCCGCTGGAAAAGTGGTAATTAATGTATCCTATCATTATTGGTAGTTTAGTGTAACCTGAATGGTGGAAAGAAGAGCTACTTGTTAATTGTGATGGATCAGTTCGTCATGTCTTTCAAGGTGCCGCAGAAACGTGTGGGAGACACATAGCTTAGATATCTGATTCGCTTTTCGAAGTGAGCACAGGTTCGAATCCTGCTACTGGACTGTCGTTTACTTTTTGTTATATAAAGAAATAACTGTTGTTTAGACATGCAGGATGAGCAGCCGCCTGATTATAAAAAAAATATTACAAAATAAATGTTCAATGTTATTGTTCCTAGACGATTCGAAGAAAAAAATTAAACTTTTTCCCTAAATTATTAAACTAAAATGTTTAAAAACAGCTATTGTGTAAAATTTTAAAGGTAGAAAAATTAATATGTCTAGATGTAATGCCTAGGAATAATTTTGCGATTCATAATAGCATTCCTTCTAAATTGGAGCATTAAAATTTTAATCAAATCAAAAATTTTTAAAAGCTTTTAAATTGTATGTTGTAATTTTTTTTTAATTTTATGTATTATTACTGTATAAAAAACAGGAAATTAATACTCTCATCCCCTCAAAAATTAGAAGAAATTTAGAAGATGTTGGAGTCCAGGATGGCCGAATGGTTATGGCATCAGACTTCAATCCTTTTCATGTGCCTTCTGTCAGGTAGTTTGTTAATCTATACCTGGTGTTGGAAGTTCTTTAACAACACGGACAAAAAAAACCTAAATTAAATAGTAAGCTTCAGGTGCAGTTGAAGAATCCATTAAACGTTTGGTAATTGTAAAATCCGTTGATTCTCGGTAATATCAAGCAACCTGAATGCAGGTAAATAGGAGTACTGGTGAATTGTAATCGATTAAAATTTCAAGGTATTCCAGATGTTGATGGAAAACACATGACGTGGATATCTGATTCGCTTTTCAAAGTGAGTGCAGGTTCGAATCCTGCTCCTGGACTGCCTTTCAATTTTAATATATAAAACAAAACTGGTGATTACACTCATATACCTTTTCAGTTCTGGAAAATTTGTATCCACTGTGGGAATGTCTATAGATTAATTTGAAGAAGAAACGCTATTACGTCATGTTTTCATGTAATGCTTAAATTTGTCTGAAATCACTTGACCTCTTTTGATTTCTTTTGTGCCTTTTTGATCCAAACTTGCAAAATGTGCCTAACTCCAGTCTGAATAACAACAAACATAACATCTCATAACAAACTATGAGGAAAACAGTTCTGAAGTGACCACGAATTTGCCGACTGCAGCCGGGCTAACCTATTACCAACAACTAATTGGATTTATGATCAAATTTCGACGGATCTAGGGTTTTCTTATTGTATAGTTTTATTTAAAGCTTTACGTTTTGTTGAGATTTATACTCGCACACATAGCCCATAACTTAAAATACATAACCCTCTAACGGCTAGCAGGTACATAAAGGCTATTGGAGCCTGATGCCATAATCACTAGGCCATCCTGGACACGTATGTTAGTCATTGCAAATTCGTCATATGAAAAATTGTGTCTTAATGTAAAATATGGAAGTTACTGCCAATTAATCAGGGATTGCATGACAAACTCTGGTGTGGCGAACTATACTTTATAGATATACAATGAATTAATATGCCTATTCTCAAGCGAAATTTAAAGCATAGATCGAGCAACTTGGGAAACTCAAAATATTTTTAATTGTACCAGGAAAACGACTCAAAACATGCTGCTGATATTTGCAGTTACGGGTCCTCTATCGCTGTCCTTGTGTGATTAAGACCAGCTTCCACACTTTAATCTCATTGAACAGGTGTGTATTATTTGTAGCTAAAAACAATGAATACGATACAATATTGTAACAAGCAGGAATTAAGAAAAATTCTGATCAAAAAGTGGCCCAAAATTAACTGATCATCTTGCGTAAAATCGACCAAATCTATGCCAAATCGACTGCAACAGGTCATAAAGTGTAAGGGTGGCCCAACAAGATATTAACTATCAAGTTCATATTTTTTTCTTAATTTATTGGGCAACGTCTCAATATTTTCAGCAGATTTTCTGACTTGATTCTTTTACTTTAAATTGTAATCATAGTTTCATTAATATTTGAATTTTGTTTGAGTTAGTATTATTTGTATTTATCAAAATATAATATACTCTTTTTTCCGTTTCATTTGAATATTTAAATTATATGTTATGAAAAAAAAATTGTGAACTTTTATTGTGACCCAATTTTTGTTTTGAGTGACTGTATGTCTAGATATATAATGCCCAGAAATAATTTTACTACTCGTAGAGGAATTCTTTAAAATCTGAAATATTAAAGGCTTCAAACCAATCATATATGAAAGCATTTCAGGTTTGTGTGTAAGTTTTCTTAATTTTCTGTCTGTTTACACTATAAAAAAAATAAAATCCAAATAAAATCGCTGTCCAGGATGGCCGAATGGTTATGGCATCAGACTTCAATGCGTTTCATGTGCATCCTGTTTTCTAGCCATTCAGGTTTACAGTTCACTTACAACATGGCTGACAGATTCTAATTAAGTAGAAAAAAATTATGCAGTAAAAAAAAAAGTAAAACTATAATTGGACATTCCGCTGGAAAAGTGGTAATTGAGGAATTCATTATTGGTAATTTAGTGTAACCTGAATGGTGGGAAGAAGAATTACTTGTTAAATGGATAGATCAGTTCATCATGTCGTTCTAGGTACCTCAGAAACATACGGGAGACACATAGCATAGATATCTGATTCTCTTTTCGAAGTGAGCGCAGGTTCGAATCCTGCTCCTGGACTGCAAATTAATTTTTGTTATATAAAGAAGTAACTGTTGTTTAAACTTACAGGGTGAGCAGGCGCCTGATAATAAAAATTCTTACAACTAACTGTTCATTGTATTATTCAAAATAACTGTTCATTGTAATATTGTTGTTATTGTATAAGTCACTTTTAATAGGATTATGTGCAGTATATCCGAAAATAATTGATGAGGAAAATGATTTTATATATAGATACAATCAGATTTTCTTATACACCAAACTTTCATTTCTGCGGAAAGGCAAATAAAGACAATAGCCACCTCCGAAAACAAAGTATCCACGTTTCTGCACAGGTAGTGAGAAAAACCCCTAAAGTTAATATGTGGTGTAGCCTCTGCATAACGCCAATTAGGAGAATTTCAACCACGGATTATTTATCATCAGTGAAGCCCCCTCCTCACTATGATTAATGAGTTCCGAGACGAGAAATTTCTGGACCAGTGGATTAGAACGGTTGGATCCACACCATGGCCTCCTGATATTACTTCTCTTGATTTTTTATGTTCGGGATATATCAAGCACAGAGTATTTTTCTTACCAGTTGAAGAACTGAAATCTAAGTTTGATTTGGTTTGTCGCTTACTGTCACCTTGTGCACTCGAGGGCTAAACAGGCAATTACCTACAGTTTAAAGTGGATTCTCGAACCACTCACAAACATCCATGCGACCGTTAGGACTGAAATCTAGGAGAAGGTATGTAATGTATCTTTGTGATATCTGTTACCGCTAATGATTTTCTTTTATCAAAATATGATGTACTTCTTTTTTTTTTCTGTTTCATTTGTATATTTAAGTTATATGTTATGAAGAAATCTTGTGAACTTGTATTGTATGCGATTTTTGTTTTGAGGGACTGTATGTCTAGATATAATATTTGGAAATAATTTTGCTACTGGTAGAAGGCTCCTTTCGAAACTGGAAGATTAAACATTTTCAAACCAATCATATATAAAAGCATTTCGTATTTATGCATAATTTTTTCTTAATCTCTTTACACTATAGAAACATAAAATTCAAAGAAAAGTGCTGTCCCGGATGGCCGAATGGTTATGGCATCCGACTTCAATGCGCTTCATGTACCTCTTGTTATCTAGCCATTCGGGTTTGCAGTGAACTTATACCATGGCATCTAGAGTCTTATTAAGTAGAAAAAAATAAAGTAATGCTGTAATTGACCAATCCGCTTTAAAAGTGGTAATTGGTGGATCCGATAATTGTTGGTAATTTAGAGTAACCTGAACGGTGGGAACAAGAGATATTTGTTAAATATGATGGACCAGTTCCTCATGTGTTTCAAAACATCTGGAAAGCGCATAGCATAGATATCTGAGTCGCTTTTCAAAGTGAGTGCAGGTTCGAATCCTGCTCCTGGACTATCGTTTAAATTTTGTTGTATAATGAAATTATTGTTGTTTAAACATACTGCGTCAGCAGTTGGGGAATTGTAAAAATGTATTCAAAAATAACTGTTGAATGTAATATGTCTTTATGTCTAGATATAATGCCTGAAAATAATTTTGCCACTCGTGGAAGGCTTCTTTCGAAACTGAAAGATTAAACATTTTCAAACCAATTATATATAAAACCATTTCAGGTTTGTGTATAATTTTTCTGAATTTTCTGTCTCTTTACATTATAAAAACATAAAATCCAAAGAAAATCGTAGTCCAGGATGGCCGAATGGTTATGGTGTCAGACTTTAATCCGCTTCATGTACCTCCTGTTGCCTAACCGTTCAGGTTTGCAGTTAACTTATAAAATGCCATTTTGTTCCTAATTAAGTAGAAAAGAAAGAAAAATAAAAGTAACATTATAATTGGAAAATCCGCTGGAAAAAGTGGTAATTAATGAATCCGATCTTTATTGGTAATTTAGAGAACCCTGAATGGTGGGAAGAAGAGCTACTTGTTAAATGTGATGAATCAGTTCTTCAGGTGTTTTTAAGTTACCTCAGAAACATATAGGAGGCACATAGTATAGATATCTGATTCGCTTTTCGAAGCGAACGCAGGTTCGAATCCTGCTTCTGGACTGTATATTTTTTGGTTATATAAAGAAATAACTGTTGTTTAAACTTACAGGGTGAGCAGGAACTTGATTATAAAAATTTATTACAAAATAACTGTTGAATGGAATATTGTTGTTAATGGATTTTAATAGGATTATGTGCAATAGATCTGAAGAAAATTGATGATGAAAACAATTTTCTATATCTCATCGGTTTTCTTATAGATCAAACTTTCATTTCTGTGGAAAGGTAAGTAAAGATAATGGCCACTTCCGGGATCAAAGAATGTATATACTTTACTAACAAGTAGATTTTTTTCCCTTAATTTATTGGACAGAGCTCCAATACC